AGTTATGAACACTTTGGGTTAGCTTTTTTCTTTTTTTTTAAGTCATTAACGCATTCAGTCCAGTTCACTGACTTCTCAGTTGTCTGTGGCAGAGGAAAGAGAAATGGTATGTGCAAGACAAAATTCTAGATAAAAAGGGGAAAGCTATGGAGAAAATGTGTTGGTCTGGCAAGTGAGGATAATTAATTGGTGGGTTTTATACAAATTAAGGTATTTACTGAAGGAAAGAGATATAAGAAAGCAAGGAACAAAAACTGAAGGGATTAAGAGACTTAGGTGGGGAGTCAGAAAAAAAATGAAGACCAAAAAGAGGGAGTGGGACACCTGGGTGGCTCAGTCGGTTAAGCATCTGACTCTTGGTTTCAGCTCCAGTCGTGATCTCATGGTTTTTTGGGTCCAAGCCCCACATCTGGCTCTGCACTGACAGTGGAGCCTGCTTGGGATTTTCTCTCTCTTTCTCTCTCTCTCCCCCCCCCCTTCTCTCTCTGTCCCTTCTCCACTATGCTGTCTCTGTCTTTCTCAAAATAAACAAACTTAAAAAAAAGAGAGGGAGAATAAGACATGTTTGAGGTTACTGAGTTGGTAAGAGATGGCAGCTCTCCAAGAAATGAGAGAAGGAAAGAACAGAATGACAGTAGGCTCTGAGGCAAGACTATTTCAGAATAGATTTGAGTGACTCTTACCAGCTAGGACTGGGAGGGACTCGAGACCAGCTTTCACTGTGTTCTCGACGGGCGGGTGGCCGCCCAGACTACTAGGACATCACCTGCAGACCGGTGACGTCGTGAACTGTTACCCCATAACACAGGTGCACGCACGGAGGTCAAGAATTTAGAAACTCGTCACACTTTGACAGAGTAATTGTATGTCTGCTGAATCTGATGATAAGATAATTGGGGCCTGCATTTTATGTCTTTTTTATTCCACTTTTTTAATAATTCATTTTTTAATTGAGGTATAATTGATATTATATTATCTTCTGATGTACAACAGAATGATTTGATACTTGTATGCATTGCAAAATGATTGCCACAGTAAGTCTAGTTAACACCTGTCACCTTATATCATTACAAGTTTTTTTTTCTTGTGATGAGAACTTTTAAGATCTACTCTTTTAGCAACTTTCAGATATGCAGTAAATTAACTAGTTGCCATGTGGTTCATTATATCCCCATTATGTATATTTTTAAAGTTTATTTATTTTTGAGAGACAGAGAGAGCACAAGCAGGGAAAGTGCAGAGAGAGGGAGATAGGATCTGAAGCGGGCTCTGAGCTGTCAGCAGGGAGCCCGACGCAGGGCTCAAACTCATGAACCGCAAGATCATGACCTGAGACGAAGTTGGACACTCAACTGACTGAGCCCCCCAGGAGCCCCTCCCCGTTATACTTGTTTTACAAAAATATTCATCTGGGTTGTGCCACACCCACCATGGGGAATTTGAGAAGCAGCAGTTTGCCACGCAGAGGGGTCTGGAGACCAGCAGCATCCACATCGCCTGGAGGCAGAAGCTCCAGCCCCACAAAGACCTTCTGACTCAAGACCCCTCGATGGCTCTTAGGGGCACGGACGTTTGCGAAGCCTTGTGCTCAGTCCTTTCAGCGTTGGACGCGTGAGCTAATTAAAGTCCTCCCTCATGCTGCTCCTGGTTCTGCTTCACCGCGCCCGACACCACGCAGCCAGGAGGTCTCCTGTGACGGCAGTTGAAAGACCGCTATCAATCAGTTCAGATGCATATTTTACAAATAATTGTTGAACATCTATTCTTTGTGAACCTCTGGGCTACGTTGTAGGGTTACAGTGACAAAGAGGGCCCTGGCCTCAAGGACTTCAGTTAAATAGAGGAGATAGGAAATGGGGTATATACTTAAATACTGCAATAAAAACCGAACTTGATGAACCGTACTATAAAGTGCTTGGGAAATCACTAGCAGGAGAAATTATTTGTACCTGCATGGAGGTGAGGGTAGAGGTGCAGCCTGTGCAGGATGGAGTGCAGCGGGGAACACTGTACTCATGAGACGGGTGGGGACCGAACGTGCACAGATGGCACCAGGAGAGACCAGAAGCAGGATGGGAAGGCGTGGGGCGGGTGGAGGGCTAGAACGTAAAGCATAATTACAGTTTTGCAATTTAGCCTTCAGATGTTTAGAGAGTTCTGTGCTACAGTGATTCGTTTTCCACGGGCTTTGAAAAGAATCTGCTTTTAGAGAAGGCCGAAATGGCCAGTGCTCACATCTGAGGAATCTGTTTTCTGTCTTCTTAGCCATTTCTCAATGGCACACTGTGCTCTTCACAAGAGATCCTTCTTCATGGTGGAAACATGATAGTATAGTCAACTTTTTTTTTTTTAATGTTTATTTTTTGAGAGAGAGCACGAGCAGGGGTGAGGGGGACAGAGAAAGAGGGGACAGAGGATCCAAAGTGGGCTCTGCACTGACAGCAGCACACCTGGTGTGGAGCTCGAACTCACGAACCACGAAATCTTGACCAGAGCTGAAGTCGGACGCTCAACCGATGGACATTTTTTTCTTAAGTATAAGAAAAAACATTTTCTTTCTTAAAGTATAGCCCCCCACCCCCCATGTTTTTTTCTTAAAGTATAGTCAGCTTTAAAAATTCCAAACAGGGGCGCCTGGGTGGCTTAGTCGGTTAAGCATCCAACTTTTGCTTAGGTCATGATCTCGCGGTTCGTGGGTTCGAGCCCCGCGTCGGGCTCTGTGCTGACTGCCAGCTCAGAGCCTGGAGCCTGTTCCGGATTCTGTGTCTCCCTCTCTCTCTGACCCTCCCCTGCTCACGCTGTCTCTCTCTCCTAGAAATAAATAAAACATTAAAAAAATAAATAAAAAAAATAAAAATTCCAAACAAAACAACAGTCCAGTCACGGTTGAACACTGAAAGGGGCAGCAAGGACGGGTCTCCTTGTAGCCCCATCCCCCGCAGCCCTGTACCCTTCCTTCCACCATCCGCAGCACACACGCACAGCCAGCTCTTGCGTGAACGTGGGTTACTTTTTTTTTTTTTAATTTTTTAATGTTTTATTTATTTTTGAGAAAGAGAGGGGGAGACAGAGGATCAGAAGCAGGCTCCAACTTGACGGCAAGGAGCCCGATGGTGGGGCTCAAACTCATTAACTGTGATAATGACTTGAGCAAAAGTCAGACACTTAGCTGGCTGAGCCACCGAGGTGCCCCTGAAATACCTTGTGAGTAAAACAGTTTAGTTCAATAGAAACTGTAGAGGCAGAAATAGCAGACATGAACTATAGGGAGGAAACAAGGCTCTCTTCTTTGTACCTCCAGAGACATTATCTGTCCCATCAGTTTCATCTTCTCAGGGTCTTCGGGGTCTGTCGAGGCTTCTGACCGGTGCCAGGACAGAGCGGCTCCTTCTGCTTGTATACAGCTGCCACCCGAAGACCATCCCTGCTTCGCTTCACTTCTTTCCAGCGTTGGGTCATGTTTTCATTTGAAATCTTCCTCTTTCTTGATGTACTCGTTCGTTCATAGGGGCACGTTTTCCAGCAGCACACTGAGAAAGGTCACCCAGGGGATGGTTTGTTTTGAGACCACGTAGAGCGGGAAATATCTATCCTACCCTGATATTTGGCTGGTAATAAAAATGTAGGTTGGAAATAATCTTCCTTCAGAAGTTTGAAGTCATGTGCTCTTGGGTTAGACCTGTATCCTCATCTTAGGGCCTTTCCTTTCAGGGCTGCTCAGATCCTCCCGGTTTTTTTTTTGTTTTTTTTTTTTTTTGTCTGGAGAATATAGGTCTGGCTTTCAACATTTTAAGAGCAGAAATGAGGGGAGAACAAATTGATGGTCTCAGCATTCAGTATGTAAAGAACTCTTCGCTCTCTGTATTTGGTGCAGTACACCCACCCTCAAATGTGCCTGATACCCACCTCTGTCCAGGCGCAGCCTCAGTCGTGCACTCTTCAGGGTGTAAATCACTTATCTGCCGCTGGCGCTGGGGAGGACCTCACAGGGAAGTCACGTAGATACGTGGAGGCAGGACCTGGGAATGAATTCAGCTCCTTATTACCACCATCAGCTCATCTCGCACCCTCCTTTTCACAACTACCTGTTACGACCAATTCCCAGCCTCCAGGGGTGGGGTTGGGTTCTTAATTCAAATTTAGGTTCACTGCTCAATTACAAACATCTTTTAGATGCCGGGTAAGGTACCAGGCCTTAAACAAGACCTAAAAGGCTTCGCTCTGAAAAATTATTTCTCACGTTCTTCATCCCCTTAAACAAAAATGCCAACTTGGCCAAAGGATTAATATCAAGAATATAGTACAGAACTCCTACACCTCAATACGAAGACAATTAACTCCATTTAAAAAAAATGAACAAGAGACTGGAACTTAGCATGTGTTTCACAGAAGAGGAAACACATGGCCACAAACAAGAAGAGATGTCCAGCTCCTGTGTGACAAGGGTGCTGCAGCTCACGACCCCAGGAGAGCCACTCCGTGGGTACAGTGATACAAGGCAGCAAAGGAAAACCGAGCCCAGGATTTAGGACAATAGTCACTGCGCAGCGGGGACAGAGGGATGAGTGGTGAGAAGGAATGTTGGGGTAGCAGCAGGTAGAGGTCAAGGTCCCAGCTTTTGTTTTGGGTGGTAGGTTTGTGGGGTCCTTATTACATTATTGAAAATAGGTAATTGAATACGTGAAAAAAATAAGCCTAGTGGGGCTGGGGCTCCCAAGGTGAAATAGACAGAGACCTTGCTCAGGTGGATATTAGTTCTGTGGTTGTTTGCTTTGGTTTTTAAGAAGTCCTTCTGAATCCTGGTGTAAGTGTTTTATAGTTGAAAGTTATGAAAATATCTATATATATTATCTATATATTAACCTAAAGTTAAGAAACTACATTTCCTAGCTGGGGTTCATATGCTGATAAATAATCTACTTTATAGAGTTTTAGTGCATAAATATTTATAGCTATTTCTGCTCTTTCATAGAAATTTTACATTTTTTTCCCTTTCTTAGGACAAAGTTAAACTATAATCCTCCAAAAGATGATGGATCAACCTATAAGATTGAACTTGAAGGGATATCGGTAATGGTTATGAGAGAGATCCTGGATTACATCTTCAGTGGGCAGGTATGATGAGACACACAGGGAGGAAAACTAAGGAGAGGCTCCGAGCTCAGGGTGAGGGTCCCCTCCATCCATTCTGTGACCGAGTGGCTCCATCGTCTTCATCTGTCATTGTCCGTGTGACGCATATCTCCGGCTGGGAATGGCACCCCACTCTGTTCGTCCAGGGCTCTGCTCTTAAAAGCAGACTGGGTAAACTCGTAACCCAGTCCAGGATTTTGTATTTACCATTCCGAGCTCCGCCTTCCATCGTGAGAGAGGAAGAAACTGGGTGCTCCTTTCACAGCTGTCTTTTTTTTTTGTTTTTAAATCTTAATTCCCGTCTTACTCTGTACCCATAGCCTGGAAATGGGAGCTTCGTTGGGTGGGGGGAACTGATTCTGTAGAAATAAAGAGGTCGAGATTTACACTAATGACTGGCAGCTGCACCGTGTGCTGATCCCTGGGGCCCATCGCCTCAGCAGGAGCAGTACCCCTGTCGTACCTCGTTCTTGCCGAGGTCTCATCACTCTCGGTGCCCACTTAGCTTCTGGGGGATTTCGTGAAGCCCAGTGAAGAGAGTGAGTGACGAGACTTCTTTCTTTCTCGTCGCCATCCTCGAGCCCCCAGTCCCTGGTTATGCGGCTTAACGTGTAGCGCGAGGGCGCGAGGGCGGGCACCGGGGCTGGCTTCCCACAGGAGGAAGGGGCGCATCCTACGTTTAGTTATGTGAGAGTGCGTTTTGTCTTCACTCTTTTTGAGGGCCGCTCTGCTACTCTCTCTCTTATCCCTTCCTCATCTTGTTTCACCTTTCTCGTTTGGAAGAGCCATCTCCTCCATGTTTTCTGAGTGTTCTGGACACACTGCCTACCTTCTCTGAATATATTCATTCAGTCAATCTCGGTGATTGTCATTCCTTTTGAAGTTTTTGGGTTAATTTTATGATGTCCTCCCCTTTTCTTTTCTCTGACGCTTTTCTCTGAACACTAGGTGGGGTGGGGGCTGTGTGGGCATGTAAGGTTTTGTGTGTGATTGTTAAAAATAAATGAATTTGGGGATGATCCTTAAAATACCAAAGCATCACAAAATCAGGAGCCTCACAAAACCAGGCTGAGGACCAGCCTCTCATCTCACTTTTGAAATCAGTTCAGCAGCAGCTATAATAAGTTTTAAGCCAATGAGAGCATATTCCTTTTCCGGCTCGGATTTGAATCTTGAAATCTTATTTATAGATTGGCTTCTGTGTTTTGTTCCCAATTTAAATTAATTATGGTTTAAAACCCTAGTTGCAGCATAAGTTACGACAAACTCTTGATTTGTCAGTCCAGTCTTATCGAGATGGAACTTAGTGGTGTTTTCACGTGCCCCTGTCCAACTGGTGTACAGTTAGCTGCTGTTCTGTGGCTGAATTTAATACTTCACATAAATGGGAAACGTCTCCTTGTGGCCTGCTCAACACACTTCTTTCCACAGTTTTGTTGTTCAGTTTCTCAGGTGATCGGCAGTCATACATTCTTTTCCTGCATCTGTGGTACAAAATGTATAAAATGTTTCTTGGGCTCCTGTAACCTGGAATCCCTCCCTCACATTTCCGAGGGCGGGAGAAGCACCCATTCTTTAGGAGAGGAGAGTCCGGACTGCTGTGATGGTGGCAGTAGCTTAGAGGCCTGTTTCCTTACATCGCCTCACTGTTGCATGCAGCAGCCGTCAGGTGGGTGGAGGAAGAAGCATCCGAAGATTAAGGAAAAGTGAAGTTCATAATGGTAAACAAGAAGTCTTACCTTAGGGATTTCTTCCAGAGAGTGCCTTTGAGATCAGAGTGTATGTGTCGTGCTGAGTGCGACGTTTGGCGTTTGGAACACAGTCCTCGGGCAGAGTGGCCCTTTCCCCCACCCCCAAGGGGCAAGTGTGGCGTGTCTGGCACACCATCTGGCAAAAGACTGTGATACATCTGGAGGCAAGATCTGCCACAGTTCCAGGGCTGGTAATTAAAGACACCTCCTTCAGTTGACCACAGAATGCGGACCTGTCCACTCACAAGCGTTTTAGTCACGTAGGCCTAGAAGTGAGCAGTGTGGACGGTCCACCTGCGAGGGGTGCACAGCAGTTTTTGTCATAAAGCAGGGGAGGTGCTGGGAAAAGTCAGCCAGCCACCTGTTGCCCCTGTGGTATGGGGTTCACCGGTGCCCTCAAACTCCTCTTGAAAAAGAAGCCCTAGCCTGGACCCTGTGACATTGCCAATATTCGATCATCTTTGACCTACAGAAGTGGAGCTTGCTTTCATGTGGTTCAGCCTAATAGGTTAGCGGTTTGGGTTTCCAATCTTTACGTTCAGATGTAAAATGTTGATGATGCTCTTGCAGATCCGGCTGAACGAAGATACAATCCAGGATGTTGTGCAGGCAGCGGACCTGCTCCTGCTGACGGATCTGAAAACCCTGTGCTGTGAGTTTCTGGAAGGCTGCATTGCCGCGGAGAACTGCATCGGCATCCGCGACTTTGCCCTCCATTACTGCCTGCACCATGTCCATTACCTGGCCACGGAGTACCTGGAGACTCACTTCCGGGACGTCAGCAACACAGAAGAATTCCTAGAACTCAGTCCACAGAAGCTTAAAGAAGTGATCTCTCTCGAGAAGTTAAATGTTGGCAATGAAAGATATGTGTTCGAAGCAGTAATCCGATGGATAGCACACGACACAGAGCTAAGAAAGGTACCTGGGCTGTGTAGCGTGGTCAGATTTGCCCCATATTTAACTTAGATCATTCACTTGTTTATTTAATCCAAAGTATAGACATGTTGTCTTTCCCCTTCAACTCGATAGACTTAACAGAGTTGTGATCTGAAAGATGTCGGTTAGGGGCATCTGGGGGGCTCAGTTTTAAGTGTCGGACTTTGGCTCAGGTCATGATCTCACAGTTCGTGAGTTCAAGTCCCACATCGGGCTCTCTGATCTCATTGTAAAGCCCACTTCTGATCCTCAGGCTTCCTCTCCCTCTGCCCCTCCTCTCTCTCCCTCCCTCTCTCTCTCTCTCCCTCTCCCTCTCCCTCCCTCTCCCTCTCTCCCTCTTTCTCTCTCCCTCAAAAATAAGTAAAACATTTAAAAAAAAAATAGAAGGTGTCTGTGGGACATCTTTGCATTAGGATCGTTGAAGTGGTGGTTTTTTCAGACTTGACCTCAAAAGCTCACGTGACTGGTGATACAGCAGTGAAACTGTTAATACCTGTGAGGAGCATGATATCTCTTGTACATTGTTTTTAATGGGAAAATGCACTTCAAGCTTCAGCTGGAGATTGTAGACATCCAGCGTCCTTCCATCCACCATCACTGGGCTGAACTGTGGGGGGCCTCTGGCAGAGGCCGCCGAGAGAGAGGGGGCACAGGGCTCTGGCAGACGGGTGAAGGGGTGATTGGCACCACTCAGCAAAGGCAGGAGAGCTCCTTGCCGTTGTCTGGAGGCTGTGGCTCCAGATGGGGAGGCCCCGGGGGCAGCAGCTGGGACACAAGGGTCTCAGACCCACACTCTTTCTACATTGGGAGTGGGGGCAAAATCCTAGAGCTCTGAGTCCAGTATTTATAGGGGCTAGCTTCAATTACAGTATTCAAAATAAGAACTCTGTTAGGTTTTAAAGTAGTTTTCAAAATGTATACTTGCATTGTTCATTGTTCTCAGTAACTATTGACTGAGGTTCTAGTGAATAAGCTGTAATTTTTAAAATTCTGTAGGGCTGTGGGGCACCTGGGTGGCTCAGTCAGTTGAGTGTCTGAATCTTGATTTTGGCTCAGGTTATGATCTCACAGTTTGTGGGTTCAAGCCCCACATCAGGCTCTGCTCTGATGGTGTGGAGCCTGCTTGGAATTCTCTCTCTCTCTGCCCTTCCCTGCTAATGTGAGCTCCCTCTCTCTCTCTCTCTTTCAAAATAAATAAAATTTTTAAAAAGTTTTTTAATTCTCTAGGCCTATGTAGAAATGATGGACTGCTCTACTATAGATAAAAACTCTTACACAGTAATGATGTAGAAATACACACCGCTGCATGGTTGTAGTCTCCGTGTGGCAGTTAGCATTCACTTTCCCACGCTAGGTGGGTAGATGAGGAAAGGAGAGAGGAGCGATCTCCGTTTGCTGCCGCTCACGGGCACCGCTGTCACTAGCTGCCCCTTCCTTTCTTCTTCCAGCGACGAGGATGCCGCGGAAACAAGAGGCATTTCCTCCTCCTTTGGTCAAAAGACTTACAGACTTCATACCTTAAAGGCCTTTACTACTCGGGATACAGAAGAGTATAGTCTAAAATGACTATTGCAGGCAGAGAAGGACAAATATCATATGTTTGCACGTATAGGAGGATTAGGAGGAACTTGACGGAGGAACAAGGGGGAGAAGAAGGGCGGAAATGGTGGGGGAAAGGGAGAGAGGCAAACCATGAGACACTCTTGAATGCTGACAAAAACTGAGGACTGATGGATGTGGGGGGGGAGGGGGGGATGGGCATAGAGGAGGACACTTATGGGGATGAGCACTGAGTGTTATGTGGAAACTAATTTGACAATAAACTATTTGTAAAAAAAATAAAAATAAAAATAAATAAATAAATAAAATGACTATTGCAGGGGCGCCTGGGTGGCTTAGTCGGTTAAACGCCCAGCTTTGGCTCAGGTCATGATCTCACGGTTCATGGGTTCGAGCCCCGCGTCGGGCTCTTTGCTGACAGCTAGCTCAGAGCCTGGAGCCTGCTTCAGATTCTGTGTCTCCCTGTCTCTCTGACCCTCCTCTGCTCATGCTGTCTCTTTCTCTCTCTCGAAATAAAACATTTAAAAAAATTTTTTAAAAATAAAATGACTTGCAAAACCAAGAAAAAGTCTGCATTAAGGGAGTTTTGCCTCATGTGTGTAGAATGCTGTTGTCAGTTCAAATTTAATGATCCATTGTGAAAAGTATGTAATTCATATTATACATGTTAGATATTTTTAAACAATAATAATTGAGGAAATACAGAGTACTCAGGATTCTTCTGAACTTTGGCTTTTCGATATTTTTCATATAATATTTTTTTACCATTTATTTATATTTGAGAGACAGAGAGAGACAGAGCATGAGCCAGGGGAGGGGCAGATAGAGAGGAGGAGACCCAGAATCTGAAGCAGGCTCAGGCTCTGAGCTGTCAGCACAGAGCCCAATGCGGGTCTCAAACCCACGAACCGTGAGATCATGACCTGAGCTAAAGTCAGATGCTTAACTGACTGAGCCACCCAGGCGCCCCAATCTGGTAATATTAACATCAGTCCGTTTTCATTATCTGTTTCACCATATCGAATCAAGCTATTACCATGTATAACGTTTCCATAAATGTGACTGGAATCCCAGCACATCCAGCCATGTGAAATGAGGCCACTGCAGCCGAGCTCCAAGATTGCCTGTTGCCAAGGTGACCTTTTAGGGTGTAAAGAAAGCCTCCTGAAACTCCTCAGTGCTACATCAAATATAAATCTGTACGGATAGTTTTTTAAGTTAAACTTGTATGGTTTATCAAGGCCGTGGGAAGTAGAAGGGAGAGGGGCCAGTAAAGTGTGTTCACGCGGTGCTGGCGCTTGGGACTTGCCCACAGATGACGTGTTAATCATTTCAGGGTTCCGTGAGCCAGGAAAGGGATGTTCTGAACATGGTGTGTTGTGTCCTTCATTTTCCCCCCTCCCCATTCTCTCTGCCCTGTCGTGTAGGTCCACATGAAGGACGTGATGTCAGCCCTGTGGGTGTCAGGGTTAGACTCCAGCTACTTACGGGAACAGATGCTGAACGAACCGCTGGTACGAGAAATCGTCAAGGAATGCAGCAACATACCGCTGAGCCAGCCGCAGCAGGGGGAGGCCATGCTGGCCAACTTCAAGCCGCGCGGCTACTCTGAGTGCATCGTGACCGTTGGCGGAGAAGAAAGAGTGTGAGTATTGGACGTGAATCGTTCAGCAGTCGTGCGAGGGGAGAGCTCTTTCCACGTAAGCAGGAATTCATAGTATTTTTTGGGTATCGGAGCATAATAGCAATAGATTTTTTAAAACGTTTTAAGCATTCTTTAGAGCAATAAAACTAGTCATAGTTATTATAAGCAGAACTATATAAGGCCCATTAACTGCTAATCAATTATTTATTTCCTTAGTTCACGGAAGCCAACAGCAGCGATGCGATGTATGTGCCCTCTTTATGACCCCAATAGGCAGCTGTGGATTGAACTGGCCCCTTTAAGCATGCCAAGAATTAACCACGGAGTTCTCTCAGCAGGTACCCTTCTACTGTCAATTTTACTTAAACACGAGGTCAAGTAATAGGTAATTTCAGGCTTGTACAGAATGACGCAAAACCTTTTAGAGATTTGATTTTAATTTTAAGAGATAATTTTATTATCTCTGTGATGACATCTTCTGGCTAGCTCTAGCCTTCCAGACTCTGTCGGGACAGGGTGTCTTTGGTCAGCCTGTACGTTCCCGAATCTTTCATACCTGGCTGTTTTTAGGAATTTTAGTGGAGGAGCTGTTTTACTTGATGACGTGACTGATACAAGAGCAGCCCTCAGGGACTCTTCCCACTGTGACCTACGCGGCCACACCCGCAACAGAATCCCTTTGAGCCGCCACAGTCCCGTCTTTGAAGTTCATGCCATTCAGAATCCTACTAACTATATGAAAAGTAAAGCTGTTGCATCAAAGCAGGCGTTTCACGTGAGACTCTAGAAAATAGTACTTTCATTAGCAAAGGCTTAAAGTTATTTTACAACAGAGTATCTTTCACTGACCTTTGCAAGTTTAAAAACAGCTCCACGTCATTCAAAGCTCTCACTTGAGGCGATGGAAAGGTTGTCCTTGCTGCCTTCTGACTGTTTGCTGCCTTTCTCTCCACCTGGGTCTACCTGCTTGGGTTCACCCACAGGTGCCACTGGGATAAATTCCAGCTACTTCCAGCTGTCTTCCTGGAATCCACCTTATTTTACAGTCTCTGTTTGCCCGCTAACATGGCTTTAACGGTTTTGAAAGCTACCCCAGATTATGGAAATGGCTAAAGCTAAACTATAGTACAGAAGGGGAATCATTTTGTGGGTTCCAGGATTATTGAAGTTAATTGTTAGTAACAAGCACTGGGAGGCAGTGATGTAGCCAACAGGGTGTGGGTCTGATTTCCCTCTTCTGTCTTCTCACAATCAGCTTCCTCACATTTTCTTCCCATCGGATGTACGTATATCCATGATTTTCACACACGCACACCTACCACAGCGGCTCCAGTGTCGCGCATTTTCCAAGATTTCCTGGAGGGGTTGGTGCTTCAGAAACATTGAACAGTGAGGATGGGGTTGTGTCCATCTATAGTGAGTGCGGCTGTGACGTGACCGAGTGGTTCCTGTTTGTCCAGCCTGTACTGCGTTTCCTCTTTTCCTTCCCGCATCCCCTCTTTTCTTCTTTAACTGATGGTCTTTTTTTTTTTTTTTTTTTTTGGGTTATTTACCTTTTTCCCTCTCTTCCAGGTTAGAAGTTATAGTCTTTGTCTATATTCCTTTGAAAGTCATCAAAGAAACCATAAGCTGTATTCTTAAGTTATCAAAACCTAAGTGCATTTCTGCTGTGTTGTAGTATTAAAATGACTACTTATAAATATTTACATATAAATATGTTTTATTCACCTATGTTTTATATATGTATCTGTGGAGTGTCTGTTTAGATTTACCTGCCTATCTACTACTTTCTTTAGATAAAGACCTTCCATCGGATTAGTTTTCTTCTCAAACCTTCCGTCTAGGATTCGTTTTCTTCTCTCTGAAGTTCTTCCTTTTGAATCTCCTTTAATGTGGGTCTGCAGGGAGCAAACACTTGGATCTGTTTGTCTAAAAATATCATTATTTTGACTTCATTCCTAAAGGATACTTGTGCTGGGTATAGAATTTAGGACATCTTAACTCTATGGCTTGGCCTTTCCTCAAATGTGGAAAATTCTTACTCATTTTTGTGTCTTTAAATATTGCCTCTGTTTCGTTGTCCTCCCTCTTCCTGCTTTTTTTGGATGTCAGATTAAACATGGCTACGCCTTTTTGCTCTGTCCTCACCCCCCCTGCCTTCATTTTGTTTTGTTTTCCATGGTTTTGTCTCTCCATGTGTTGCCCTCTTTGTGATTTCTTTTGATTTACCCTCCATGTAATGAATTCTGTCTTTAACACCAACAGATCTACCATTAAACCCACCTACTGGATTTTTTTAATGTAGTTTTTTTTTTTCCGAGAACTTTTCTTTAAATCTTTTAAAAATCTGCTGGGTCACTTTTGTAGTCCTCTTTTTCCAAGAGTTATCTTAAAATTTGTCTTTTAGTTTTTAAACATAGTAATAAGCATTGCCATTTTATTGGCTTTGTGATGAGTCCAGTATTTGAAATTTGAAGTCTCTGCTAGTCTGCTTCCTATTGTCTTCTGTTGCTGGTTCTACTTCATAGTCTGCTTTCTGTGTCCTAGTATCTTTGGGTAGATGCTGATCATTTTATTAAAAAGTGTTTCTAGGACTAACTTGATGCTTTAGAATTTTAGAATATTCCGATCTAAAGATTAGATAAAGGTTCTTTCTTCCATACAAGTTTTACATTTGTTTCTTCCAGTTGCCTATAAACACTACCAATTTGGAATTACTGTAAATCAAATTCAAATCTTGAGATCTTCCAGATAAGCAAGGAGATTTAAATCTGGGTCCTGGCTCTGGATGAATTTGGGAGAGGCTCTCCTGCCAGAAGCCACACGTCCTATGGCCCTAGGGTTTTGATTTCATGCCTTCAAAGCCATTACAAGATAGGTTGGAAATTTCCCAGATTGGTAAATGCTTTCAGAGCAAAATGGTTTCCATGGTTGGTTACCTCTCCAGCTCCCACTTTTCTCTCAAGCCTTGCCATATTGTCCCGTTGGCTTCTTCTCTTTTCAGAAGATTATTTCATTTCACAACTGTTGTGTCCAGGAGTTCAGCTGTTTTGCACAACAGTTGGTATGAATAACCTGATCCCCTGTTACTTGAAACAGGAAGTTCAACAGTGACTCTTAGATCCTGTTTTGGATAGGAAGTGCACCCAGGCGCCCTGGATCTGAGCGCTCTGGGTCTTGAACGAGCAGATGAGGGCTGTAGATCAGAAGCCGTTTGAGAACCCCGGAGGGGAAATAGAATTGATGGAGCTACCCGGTGTCTGCATGGGTGGTGTTGGTCTTGCTCGAATGTGGTAGGGCGGCAGGGACCCTCTCCGATGCTGAGTGCGATAAACTGGTCATAGTGACTCGCAGATGTGGATTAGGCTCCCTCACTAAGGATCGACTGAATTATGACCAAGACCTCACACCCACTGCTATTGTACTTAGCGAAGTAGTCTCCACATACAGTCTCTACAGCTGGGGCATTTATGTTCGGCACAGAGGGGGATGGAGATCAAAGTTTCAGCTTCCCCCTGTGTCTCCTTTGAATTTTGCAGAGGGATTCTTGTTTGTATTTGGGGGCCAAGATGAAAATAAGCAGACCCTGAGCTCAGGAGAAAAATATGACCCAGATGCAAATACATGGACTGCATTGCCACCAATGAATGAGGTAAAAAGTTCTTTTTTATTTGCTTTCATAGTGTGTCTTTCTTCCCTTTAGCACTTTTGTTTTGCATCTGCAAACGTGTAAGAGGAGAAGCGGCAACCCTGCCACACGCCAACACCCCCCCACTATGCTAGTGCCCGCTGTCCCGCTCCTCCCCGTGCCTGCTGTCGCTCCATCCGACCTCATGGTTTCTCCAACCTGCACACGCTCTTGCTTTGGGACCTTTCCCAGATGCCTTTGCACTTCGCTCCTCGTTTCCATCCGTTTCTGCACAGCACTCTCCTAGGAGACCTTCCGTCCAACTCCATAGCTCTCCCCACACTTCCCGTTTTCTTTCTCTTCACACGATGCAGCACCTTCTCACCTACTGGTTATTTTTTTTTTTTTTAATTTTTAAGTTTATTTTTGACAGAGTGAGAAGGAAAGGGGAAGAGAGAGAGGGAGACAGAAAATTTGAAGCAGGCTCCAGGCTCTGAACTATTAGCACAGATCCTGACCTGGGGCTCAAACTCACACACTGAGATCATGACCCAAGCTAAAGTCAGACATTTAACTGACTGAGCCACCCCAGTGGCCCCCCACTGGCTATTTTTTTATTATTCACACAAACTTCTTGGCGGCCAGGGTTTTTGTCTTTGTGCTGAGGGCCCTATCTTCAGTGCTACGACAACGCTGGGCACGGGGGACAGCGGGGATGCTAAGGAAATATTTGCTGACAAACGAGTGTGAGGTACCTCAGGCTCCTGTCATTCCAGATAGCCTGAGCGCGAGTCTGGCCTCCCCAGGCCTCTCCCAGCCTCAGGCAGTGCTGTTGCCATGGCCCTTTCTTGTCCTTCACATACCAACTTGGAAACACTTAACTATAGCCCATTGCTGAACACATGTAATTTTATTGACCCAGAAGGTACTGTTATTGTGAGCTGTGGTAAGTGAAAAATAACAATTCTACCAGTGAATTTATCATGCAGGTAATTCCCACGTTCAGAATCACTCCGGGATGTGAGTTCTCTGTTGTGGCAGAAGAGTGAGCCGCTAGGGAAGTCACAAATATCTGAGAGACATGACCTTGAGCCTGGAACCCTGGAATATCATGATATCTGTAATTTGTATTAAATGTGTGGCTACCGGTTTGGCAGCCGGCCTTCTGTATGCAGAGATCTTTGATGTCTTTTCAGCCACGGCATAATTTTGGAATTGTGGAGATAGATGGAATGCTGTACATTTTAGGAGGAGAGGACGGAGAAAAAGAGCTGATTTCCATGGAGTGCTACGACATTTATTCTAAAACCTGGACAAAGCAACCTGACCTGACCATGGTTAGAAAGGTAAGGATCATGTCTTGTGGTTACAAATTGGGTTTTAGAGTTAGCGTTTCTTCGTTTCTCACACGCTCCCTTGAGTATGATCGACGGTGTTAAAAGAATAAGTGTTGGAGTCTTGCGTCGCTGTTGGTGGCTCTCCTCCGTTATCATCCGCCATCTGCCAGGATAGGAGACGGAGAGTGTGCGCTCACCCTGACGGGGGCTCTGCAGTGTCCACGCCAGTGCTTGCCAAATGCATCGTGCGGGCGCTCACCCAGGAAGCCCCCAGGTCTTCTAACCTGTTTGCTCAGTCGCTGCGCAGGCCCCAGGAGAAGCGGTCTGCAGGCAAGAACGGCCCTCGCATACTGAGTAGAGTGAAAACAAGGCTCCTGTTAGCTGCTGAGGGCACGGCTGTCTCGCTCCTGTTCCCTGGCAGGGGGTGGAGGGAGTCTTGGTCCCGCCAGACCTTCGTGCAGTCCCCCGGGTCTTTACAACTCCAGTGCTGAGTCCCCTCTTTCTGTGCCTGCTCAACTCCAGGAACTAAGTGACATCTTGCTCGATGGAATCTAAATCTTGGATCTTCAAAGAGTGATGGAAGAATAGAGAGCCTGGAAAGTCCCTTTAAAAATTAGGGTTGGGGCACCTGGGTGGCTCAGTCAGTTAAGCATCTGCGTGGACCCAAGCTCTGCGTGGACAGTACAGAGCCTGCTTGGGATTCTCTCTCTGCCTCTCCCCTGCTTTTGCGCACACACGCTCACTGTCTCTCTCTCTCTCTCTCAATCAATAAACTTTAAAAAATTAGGGTATTTATATATTTCACTTAGTGTAATAGTATTAAATGGAGTGAACAAACAATATGTGTGCTTCCTCTTCTTCTCGTTCTTAAAATCCTGTGTTCGTGATGTTGGAAAGCACCATAGTTTCACTATTAGAAATCACATCCTTTCCCTACAGATACCCTACAGTGCTCTCTAGACTAAAGGTAGCGTTTGTCTAACTTGAATAATCAGTCTTGCCTCCCCTCTGTTACTTTCTCCTTTCAGATTGGCTGCTATGCAGCTATGAAAAAGAAAATCTATGCCATGGGCGGAGGATCATATGGGAAACTCTTCGAATCCGTGGAATGTTATGACCCAAGGACCCAGCAGTGGACTGCTATTTGTCCGCTAAAGGAGAGAAGGTATGAGAGCGTGGATATGGACTTTGTGAATCTCCCTTTCTTTCAAATGAACCTTTCACTTGACTTGGCATTTAGTTTCTATAAAAATAAATGAGGGACACCTGGGTGGCTCAGTAGGTTAAGCCTCTGATTTCCAGTCAGGTCATGATCCTGCACTTCATGAGTTTCAGCCCCACATCGGGCTATGTGTTAACAGTGTGGAGCCTGCTTCAGATCCTCTGTCTCTGTGTCTCTCTGCACCCCCCTTCTCAAAAATAAACATTTTTTTAAAGTAAATGAATAATCCATTTCCTAAAAAGGAAGACCCACATATTCATGAAATCCTGAATGTCATGGTGTTAAAACAAACATAAGAGGAGTTAGGGAATCCATTTACAACCAGGGGCTGTAAATCCAATAGCTGATATGCTCTGTGTGTCCCTTCAGATTTGGAGCTGTGGCCTGTGGAGTTGCCATGGAGCTCTACGTATTTGGAGGAGTCAGAAGTCGTGAAGACATCCAGGGGAGTGAGATGGTCACTTGCAAGTCTGAATTCTACCATGATGAGTTTAAGAGGTAATTATAAGCAGTTCCACATAACTTCTGCAACTTTTCCTTTATGCTTTCAAAGTCATGTCTTAGATTTGTTTACTTTTGTTTTCAAGTTACTTTACTGCATTATCTCATCTATTTAGGACATATGCCTAATGCCCACTAGATATTTAGTCAGTGACTTCAGAAGTATCTGTAACTTAAAACCATTGAAAAGTGTTTGTGAAGTCTATATCAGACCTTGACCCTTGGTTGCTTAAACCCATTCGTTGGCTTGCTATAGCTTTTAAAGTTTAAACTCCTTAACCTAGCATACATGGCCTTTTGTGATATGGCCTTTGTCTATTCTTTCTGCTACTGTTCAACACAGATGCTTTACTTGAGTCATGCTGAGCAACATTTTCCCCCCAAAACACGTTATGATTATCTCAGCTCTGTGCTTTTATACTATTCCTTTTGCCTAAAATTTCCCTTCCATTATTTATCCAGTTAATATAGCCTCTTCCAAAACTGTGCTTAATGAGCTGCTGCCTAGAGAAAGCTTCTCACACCTCCCAGTCCGATTTCGGTTCCTCAGTCTGTGAGGCTGTGACATTTGATGCCCGTGTCTTGGATTGTAATCATTAACCATAAGGTTCTTAAGGACAGGATTCATCTCAGCCAGCTCTGGGTCCTCGCTTCAGCAGTGCACCTGACCTGTGTTGGCCGCTCAGTGAAAGGTTGATTCCACGGATGAAGTGTGGTGTCACAGAGTCTTCAAACATCTGATAGGTCATCACACGTGTCCTGTAGGGTAGGCACCCCCTACCCACCTCCTCCCCTTCTCTCCTCTCACACGTCTTACTGTGATAGCCACTAACCAGGACTGTTTCGTTCCAGTCCTAGAGGCAAATGGTCATGGGGAGATTCATCGTGTTACAGAATTTCAATCGTGTTACCAGAAGGGGGTGCTATAATGCAACGTTTAATTCCTTAATGTTTCAGATTAGCGCAAACAGGGGCAGTTTCCAAGGCTTTAGGAATACAAATCAGTGTTATTTAACTTTTAATGTAGTTTATATCAAGATATTTGCATAGCCTTCTGTTCCTTCGATTACAGGGATAAACAGTTTTAGGAAAATTTATTAGACAAAGTATGAGAGCAGTTGAGAGAATGTCTGTTATGGTGTTGGGGTGGGGGGGGCAGAATTTCAAAGACATTCTACATTTCTCTTGATACATTACTGTAAGGGCTGACTGTCCAAGGTATAAAGCGCTGTGTTAATTCCTGCCCAAGTGAATCTCAAGACCGTCTGCTCAACTTCACTTATAAGCAGTGGTCAGTGTGTTTGGTTTCTGCTAAAATATTGCCACGCACCTTTTTCGTAATGACTGAGTTACTGTTTCGGCAGCGTGAGCTATAGGCTGCCGTTCGCCTGCTGGGGTAATCAAGGCTACTGATGTCTCCCTCTTTCCTGTCCCTGTTTGTTTATAGGACTTCAGTCTGGCTGCACAGTTTCTCAGTCCATCCTTGAAATGCTATAAATCACCGAACCTTTATATTTCTATCAAGCTCTTTCATATTTATAGTTGATACGCTTTAAATGTAAGTGTATTGCTTGCTTTCAGTTCGTTAAGTATTAAACATGAGTATGGCTCCTTCCTTGCTACTTAAAAGCACTTCCAAATAAATTCGGGAATCCATTAATTTCCTTATTTCTAAGGTGTCCAAATATTTATTTATTTTGAGAGGGAAACAGAGAGAGAGCAAGCACGTGTGCACAAGGAGGGGAGGGGCAGAGAGAGAGGGAGAGAGGGAATCCAAATTAGTCTCCACACTGTTAGTGCAGAGCCCAATGCAGGGCTGGAACTCACAAACCATGAGATCGTGATCTGAGGGGAAATCAAGAGTCAGACACTTAACTGACTGAGCCACCCAGGCATCCCTGTCCATTGTTAGTTTTTAAAGTAAGCTCCATGGGGCGCCTGGGTGGCTTAGTCGGTTAAGCGTCCGACTTTCACTTGGGTCATGATCTCGCGGTTCGTGGGTTCGAGCCCCGCGTTGGGCTCCGTGCTGACTGCCAGCTCAGAGCCTGGAGCCTGTTTCAGTTCTGTGACTCCCTCTCTCTCTGACCCTCCCCTGCTCATGCTGTCTCTCTCTCTCTCCTAGAAATAAATAAAACATTAAAAAATTAAAAAAAAAAAAAATTAAGCTCCAGGCCCCATGTGGGGCTTGAACTCAAGACCTTGAGATCAGGAGTGACATGCTGTACCAACTGAGCCAGCCAGGCACCCGCCAGTGTTAGTTTTTAAATAGTAGAATGAGGAAAGCTGAATTCCTCTTGTCAGTATAATGTCTAAAATTCTTACTTGTTATGTACATAACACTGAGTGCCGTGTATTAACTCATCCATAGCTCATTCAGTCTTCAAAAAGCAAGCCTCTGAGTATTGGTGCTCCTTTTATTCCAATTTTACACTGAAACACAGAGAGTTTAAGTAATATGCCCAAAGACACACAGGTCACAAGCGGCTGGAATTTGAACTCGGGCACTCTGGCCCCACAGTCCACCTTCGCAGCCACCACACCATATGGCCTTAAAAACACCGGCTTTCCCGTAAATCCTTACAGGAAGAAACTTACATATAGCAGTAGTTTATTTCTCAAAAGAGCAGATGTTTCCAAGTATGTTATATTTGCATACCGTGGAAACTGTTGCCAGATGAGCAATCTGTATTAGACTGGAGAACATTTATTGTGTTTAAGTAATCTCTTGTCTTTCCTGTCTTTGTTCCCTATTTTTAGGTTAAAACTTTCCTGGAAAAATGCCATATCTTATTTTCTGTGTTTCTGACTAAAAACAAAACTGTCTGAAGGAGAGCAAAGAAATTTCCCTAAGTCATGCCACGTTGTAGTAGCCACTTTGTGTATCCAGAACGACAGGCATCCCCTGTTCCCGCGCCCGGTGTTGCGGCTCCCTCACCAATCCCCCCACCCCCCACCCCCAGTTCTCCACACCCAGAAAAGCTTGTCTTCGATTCTCTCTTGTGCTTCACGTCTCGTCCGTCGCCAAGTCTTGTCCCCTTCTTTTATGCTCTGGAATATTTTCCACATCACTCGCCTTCATTTCTCTGCTCCTGCCCCACTGTGCTCTTGTGCACAGTGTCATTAGCCTTCTAGCCAGGTTTCCTGCACTTTGTCCCTATATGTGTTTTTGAAAGATGAATCTGACTTTGGTCATTTCATTCTCCCACTGGAAGTTCTCGGTGTTTCCCCACTGCTTACTGAACAGAGATGGTAGAGTGTACCCTCCCACCTGGGTTCTCTGCTCTCTGAGGTTAAGAGAAATGTTCAGCCTTTTCTAGTCTCTTCCTTCCCCTGCCCTGCACTCCCGCCCCCTTCTCTATGCATCCCGTGTTTGACGGCCTCCCCGCGTGTGCTCAGCCCGGATGCCCCCTTTTCATTTCTATAGACCTGTCATGGTGGCTGTTGACGTCACGACCTGTCAGTTTCACGTTTGGGTCCCTGAATGTATCATTTAACAGGCGTACTTGACAGCCGTACCTGACAGCCGGCAGAATCCCCATGTTGGTTCTCTGACCCTTGGGTTGGGAGCCGTTGTGGTAGGAAGGGCTAAGTGGAAGTCCACTCACTGTAACGTTCCTTCCCTACAAGGCAGAAAACCAGAAGCAGTTCTACGTCCTTGAACAATTACAGAAATTAGTGCCACCATCAAAGACTTGAAAATGCAAGAGTGGCGCTACCTCTCACATCCCCACTTAATTCACTTGGAAAAAGTAGAAAAGGCAGGTGGATTTTGGATAATAACTGTGTGTCTCATAAACATAATCAGACGGTTACACGGATCTCAGATTTAGTCCCAGATGTAGTATTTTTATGCGGATGTTATGTCCTTATGCAACGCAGTCCCTGGCCTTGGTATGTGGCTGCTGACCTAGCTGCACTTTTTCTTCGTCCCAGTTTGCAAGGACCCCAAGAAGCAGTTGGCCTGGCACTGCCTGGCCTCGGGGCCACGCCAGTCCTGCTGTCTGCCCCATTAGTCCAGGAAGATTTCGACCCTCTTGGTGTCCCTTTAAAACACCGTGTTGGTCTGCCCCATCGGCATCACGCTGTTTGCATCAGATGGCGAAGCAGTAGCAGGTGCCACGGCAGCCTTTGTAAGACGCGGGGGGATGAACTGCACTCCTGACCACGTGAGTTTCAGTCATGGTCCCGTCAGGGCGGAAACCACACCAGGCACCTGGGCAGGGAAAATGTACTTGGCTCGTCAGTAACTAGTAAGAGACGGTTCACTGCGAACGGGTGAAAGAGAGCTCTGAGGAGCGCAGAAATAGCTCGTTTGGGAAGTGCAGCCTCTGCTCCCTTTAGGGCTGAGGGAAGTACCCTAAGAAGGAGCATATTGGGAAGGGGCCTCCCCGCCCCGCAGGGGTGTGCTGTGCCCACCGCAGGCAGGACGCTGGGATGCGGGGGCCAGAGCTGGTGGGCAGGAAGCCGCCTGCTGGGGGCAGAGGACCGTGCTGAGGGCAGACACCCCTGGGTCCCCTGCACACTGCAGACAGCAGCACGCGGGAGGAGGGAGAGACGGACACCAGACCCAGAAAACCCCAGAAAAGAAGCCCTTTCCCCTACCTGGCCTTGTGATCCCTCCGACGCCCCCTATTGGCAAAGCCTAACACTGAGTTCATCTCTTCAAGGCCGTTCACTTTCTCCCCTGTGTTTTGCTGTCATCTATACTATTTCCTTCTTTTGACTGACTTTGGGTTTATTTTGCTCTTTCCTTTCCCAACTTCTTCAGGTAGAACTTTAGATTTCTTCATTTCTTTGCCAAAAGCTCCGATCTTCTCAGAAGCACGTTTCCCTTTCTCTCTTGAGCATAGTTACACCAGCCACGTTCAAGTCCCCGCCTGATAGATCATCCCAGCATCTCGGTCATGTCAGAGTTGGTGTCTGTTTATGGTTTGTTCCCTTGAGAATGGGTTCTCCTTTCCCTGGCTCTTCGCCCGTAGGGCACTTCCAGGCTGCGTCCTGGACATGGTGAATGGTACGTTGTTGGGGCCCCGAGGCCCCTTCTGGTGCTTTCAGAGCACTGTGCTGACCGTCTTAGCAGTTGTGCACCTAGTAGGACTCCATGGAGGCTGTAACACCTGCTGCACACGGTGTTACACCTGCTGCCACCATGGAGGTGTAACACCTGCTGCCACTCAAGCCCCTCTTCAGTTCTGGAAGCCCAGGGTCAAGTACTCACAGGCTCGAGGCAAGTGTGTGCACAGGAACTGAGGCATCCTTCTCCGCCTCTCTTTCGAGGCCTCCACGCACTCTGATGCTCTGCCCTCATTCCAGGGGCCGCGAAGACGGCAAGGTTTCCTGTAGGGCCATCAGCCCTTCCGAGCCGCCAGCGCCAGGCTGCCTTCAGCCCAAACCACTGGAGCACGAGCAACTCACTCCCTGGGGCTGTGTGCTCCAACTTTGCCTCTGTCCCCAAATCTGCCTGCATTTGCTCTGTCTCCAGAGCTCTTGGGCAGGGGTCTTTTTCTCTTGCCCAGAGCTTATAGCAGCTGCTTCTCACAGGAGGATCAGCTTGTTAAGAGCGTCCTCCTCCCTCCTGGAGCAGACGCCTCACTAAAGCTCCCTCTGCCTTTCTCCTCTCCAGTAGCTTGCCTGTCCCTCTCTCGTCCTCACCGTCTCTCCTCGCCTGACCTTCCCTCCCGTCCTGCTCTCGGAAGCTCGCTGCTACAAGCCGGGCAGTCTTCCAAAGTCCCCTTCACAGGGACATTGCTCATAAGATAGAGGCCACATCCCTGCAGCCTCAAGTCCTCATAAGACCATATTTGAGAACATTGTAACTAAAGACGTACTACTGCTTTGTCCATTACAAAAATGACTTACTCCTGGACGGCTGCTTTGTGTGGGCCGCTGTGCCGAGCACTTTACACTGGGCACTTCATTTCATGCCCACAAGTCATTGGATGTTAGTGGTGGTGTTTGGTATCTGCGTTTGACAGATGACGGTTAGTTAAATTGTCCAAGGTCAACAAGGTGATAGATGGCAGAGAAGGAAAGGCAAAACCACATGCTTTGATGTCTGTTTTATTTTTTTTTTTAATGTTTATTTTGGGGGGAATAGGGAAAGAGAGAGGGAGACAGGATCCAAAGCAGGCTCTGGGCTGTCAGCACAGAGCCTGATGTGGGGCTCGAACCCACAAACTGTGAGATCATGACCTGAGCGGAAGTCAGATGCTTAACTGACTGAGCCACCCAGGTGCCCCTGTTTTATATCCATTTTATAAGCAGCAGCTAAATGCATGAGGCAGTTACGTTTTTGTATTAGTTTTATTTCATCTGAAGCCTCAACATTATATGAAATAGATCACCTAGGATTATTTTTCTGAAACCCAGGCACTCTGAGTCATTGATCTGCTTTGGACCAAACTTGGTAGATCGTCTACACAGACCGATTTCTTCAGCTTTGTTTAATTATTCCAGGAATTATTAAGGAATAATGTGAGGTTCTCAACTCTACAAAATTCTGCCAAAATGTTGTGTTTGACGTGCTTTTCAGTGAATAATCTAGTCACAGATGTTTGGCCGGCAGTGCCAGGTGCCCCTGTGAGGGCACACATGGCCCCATTCTGGGTCGGCCCCGAGGGGTCGTGTGCCCCGCCACTGGCCTGGGTCCTGGATGTGGGGTGCAGCTGGAGACAAGGCCCGGGGACATTCACTGGCTTCACTTGATTCAGAACCTGGAAAGAATCAAAATGTCAGAGTTTCATTAATTATGTTTATCACTGAAGACATAAAATGTGAATAAGCCAGTTATTGTAGTTTGACGTTTTCATTTTCTTTCAAAGGCCTTTTCAGGTCCCCACTTTTACTTTTCAGCGAGAGCTCTTAGATTTTTCCCTTTCCCTGTTTCCTAGAGACATTTTGGAAGCGGAGGCCAAACTGTATCCCTAGTCCCAGCAAACTGCTGGGTACCAGTCTGCATTCAGGTATAAGATGAGTCAAATGTTGCGTGAAGGTATTCAGAATATGGCAGCTTTATGTTAGCCTTGCTTTGGAGTGCTTACGTGATCGCAGATCGTTGTGACAGATCATTTTGCTTCTGTGCTTCTTAGAATTCCAAATATGGAAGCTGCTACTTTATAACAATCTGGGAAGGGTTCATTGAAAGGAAAGTGCTGTTCTTCGTGAAACAATTTCACATTTGACTTTAACTCAGAGAAGCACTGGATCTGAGCTCCGGTAGCCACTGTCTTCCTGGACCCTTGGTAGCACAGAATTGGAGATAAAACAATAACGTCAAGACACCGTATGCCCCAGTAACGAGAGTAGGCCTGGACGTGGGCGGTTCTTAAGGGTTTAGATACATTCCCAGGGTCTGACACAGGTCTACTATACCCAGCCTGTGTCTTTAGCTGTTAAAGGAAAATTGTTAGGTCCAGTTACCTTAAGTGAACACTATTAAATAGCAGAATCTACGGTCGGTGGTGGTGTGGTGCTCAAACAAATGAAAAAACAAAATGCTTTTATTTTGGAATAATTTTACACTGATAGGAAAGTTACAAAAATAGAGCCATGCACCCAGCGTCTCCTCATGTTAACACCTTACATCGCCATGGTATGGATATCAAAACCAGGATATTTATGTTGGTGTGGTATTATTAAGTAAACTATGGTCTTTATTTGAATTTCACCAGCTCGTCCCCTAAATCTCTCTTTTCCCTTTGCTCTGGAATCCCACATGGGGTCTGACAACGTACTCAGGTGTGTTTCTCTAATCTTTTTGCATCTGTGATGGTTCCTTGGTCTTTCCCTGACTTTGATGACTCGTGATATTCTTTTGGTTGTTGTTGTTACTTTTATTTTATTTTATTTATTTTTTTTTACAAATAGTTTATTGTCAAGTTGGTTTCCATATAACACCCAGTGCTCATCCCCACAAGTGCCCTCCTCCATGCCCATCACCCCCATTCCCTTCCCCCCACCCCCATCAGTCTTCAGTTGTTCTCAGCATTCAAGAGTCTCTCATGGTTTGCCTCTCTCTCTCTCCCCCACTATTCCCCCCCTTCTTCTCCCCCATGGTCCTCCATTAAGTTCCTTCTAATCCTCCTATACGTGCAAACATATGATATTTGTCCTTCTCTGCCTGACCTATTTCACTCAGCATAATACCCTCAAGATCCATCCACGTTGCTACACGTGGCCAGATTTCATTGTTTCTCATTGCCATGTAGTATTCCATCATATAGATAAACCACATCTTCTTGATCCATTCGTCCGTTGATGGACACTTAGGCTCTTTCCATGTTTTGGCTATTGTTGAGAGTGCTGCTATGAACATTGGGGTACATGTGCACCTATGCATCAGCAATACTGTATCCCTTGGGTAAATTCCTAGCAGTGCTATTGCTGTGATCCGTGATATTCTTGAAGATAATTGGTCATTATTTTAATAGGATGTCTTTTAATTTGCGTTTGATGATTTCTCAGGATTAAGCTGAGGTTACGCATTTTTGGCGGGGACACCGCACAAAACGTGCCTTACTCTGTGAGTTATAAATGCAGCACTATCCTCATTTATTTTGTGGCTCAGCTGGTCCAGCTTTGGCCATTGGGAATGGCTTCCCATCAGCTCTGCGTCCTCTGGACACACCCCATCCTTTCAGCACTTCCTGTCTGGCACGCAATGTGCCCCAGACTCATCTCGTGTTTCCTGTCTCAGCTGGGGAATCAGCCACTTCTTTTTGGAGCCCTGGATCCTTTTAGTAGCTGTTAAATTGATTTTCAGCAGAAGTGCCAAGGCAATTTAGCAGGGAAAGAAACGTCTTTTCAGCAAATAGTACTGGATCAACTAGATATCTGTATGGAAGGAAAATGAATGTCTACCTAATACCATTCTGAGAATTCAGCTTGAAATGTACTGTAAGACCAGAGTGTCAAAGCTGAAACCATGAAGTCTCCAGAAGAGAGCATCGGTAGAAGACCTGTACAGCCTTGGAATAGGCAGGAATTTCCTAGAAGGACATCAAAAGCATGACCTTTAAAAAAAAGAAAGAAAGAAAAGAATAAATTGTAGTTCATCAAAATTAAAAACTAGTCTTCAAAAGATTCCATAAGGAAAATGAAAAGATAATCCACAAGCCAGGGAAAATATTCGTGATCTACATATATCTAACAAAGGACTTGTATCCCCAACACACAAAGATCTTAACGATTCAAGAGCAAGATAGAAAACCCGGTGTTAAGAATGAGTGGATCTTGGAGCAGACATTTCACCAAAGAAGACAGATAAAATGGCCAGTGAGCTCACACAGAGACACCCGACTTCCTTCTGTTCCGGGAAGCCCACCCCGCTAACATGGCCAAGATCAGAAAGCCCGACATTCCCAAGAATAGGCAGCACTGCCCAGCGGTTGGGGTTCTCAGGTGTTGCTCACTGGGATGAGAACGGCACAGCACGTTGGAAGACGATGTGGCACTTCCTTATCAGGTGGAATATACCTTTAGCCGTATAGCCAGTTCCATGACGCAGTATCCAAAAAGATTTACACTCCAGGGTCCAAAACTGCTTTATTCACCAGAGCAAACACCGGAAACCACCCAAATGAACATGAGCAAGGGAATGCATAAGCAAATTCGGGTACATCCATATAATGGAAAACCACTTAAAATAGTAAGAAACGAATTATGGGTAGAAGCCACACTGTAACAAATCTCAGGAACATTGTGCTGAGCAAAAGAAGCAGATTGAAAAGTGCATACTCTTTGTGTTTCAAAATAAGGGCAAAACGCAGTGTCCATAGTGACAGGTGACAGTAAGGAAACAGGGAAGCAGGTTGAGCTGAGCTGGCGCAAGGCCCTGCGCTCTGGACACATCAACCACGTTTTGCCATCTTCCTAGACCTTGTCCTCTTGACTTCCCTAGTTTTGTCTGTCTGTTCGTTTTCAGGTGGATCTACCTTAATGACCAGAACTTATGCATCCCCGCCAGTTCCTCTTTTGTTTATGGAGCCGTCCCCATCGGAGCCAGTATCTACGTTATCGGAGATCTCGACACAGGTAAGCGCAGTAGAGTGATTGTGCTGGAGCTGTTTCTGGCAAGTCCAAGGCGTGCTGTGTCACCTCTGCTGCTTCTCGTGGTTCAGGTACCAATTACGACTACGTGCGTGAGTTTAAAAGAAGCACAGGGACGTGGCACCACACCAAACCGCTCCTCCCATCCGACCTCCGCCGCACCGGGTGTGCAGCCTTACGTATTGCAAATTGCAAGCTCTTCCGCCTGCAGCTCCAGCAAGGCTTATTCCGTATCCGTGTTCATTCACCTTGAGAAGGCAGCAGAGCAGAAGCAGAGCTCCTGACCCAGCGCACCATAACACAGCTTTCTGTGAGGGGACAGAGGGGGTGGCCTAACTCTGGTGGTTTTCCTGTAACGCTTAGAAGCCCGTGCTTCAGCTCCTCCTGGGGGGAACCCGTAACTCGTGAAAAAGCTACCTTGGAGGAATCAGTTCCTCCAGTCAGATGTGTCTGCAGACAGACGGGGTGACTATCAAGAGGCAAAGGGAAGTGGGAATCGGGATCATGTAAAATACATTAACGTACTAAGGTGCATTCTCCCGGAAGGGAACCCCTATCCGAGTGACTGCTGTGTCCGAGTACCTGGCTTTGGGGAACAAACGGAAATCAGTATATGCAAATCAACATATCCAAACATGCCGAGATTGCTTTTCTACTGCACTTGGAAGGAAATATCATGCCTAACCCTGCCCAACAAATTAAGGTTTGTGCCTAAAACGTTAGATTGGACTGTATGCCAGTTAGTTTCCACTCAATACTAGTACTGTGTCCTAAGAATCTTTTTTAAACTCTATTATCATGAATTGAAACTAAGATAAAATTTCTCTTTTATGACATTCTATCTTAGTGATCTAAAGGTTCAGTAAATCCATGAGCCAGGTCGCAGCGCTCGCGTGAACTTAGAGGAAGTTGCTGGCTTCTGCGTTAGTTTAGACACCTAATTGCTGGGGTAGTTGTCTCGCAGCAGTGAAGGGTCACGCGGTGCCGTTCTTCCTGCTCAATTAACCAGAACCGTTTGATAAACATGAGGCGATTAGCAGAGTAAGGGATTTTACAGAAGGAAGACCTGAGTCAGACGAATGATCGAGGTCTGCTATGACTACAAACACTGTCCAGACAAAATATATAGGGATCAAAAACCTTTAATCTGCTGAAAGCACACAAAGTCTTGTTTACTACTGTTTCGGATTGAAAAATCTGTCTTAGATCGTGAACCTGCATTAAGAATCTAGTCTTTGTAGCAGAGTTTTCTCAATGCCGTTCACTAGCAAGAGTTTTAGACAAATTACGTTATAAGTAAAGTTTGGCTGGTAGAATAAACTACCTCAAGTTAATTTCATTCTGTTCATAGTAGAGCAAACTCCTCTCTTCCTCTGCTTCTCTGCTCCTCCACGTTCCTGCATCTCCCCAGGCCGCCCTTCCCACTGGGGGAAAGAAATCTGTCATTAGTAGCACTTATCTTGTAAGATACTTTGTTTTCCATTCAAATTATGCCACCTTAGTGTGAAATCAGGGACTTCAAAGTGCTTGATTACGTCATAATTTGAATTTTATGCAATATCAGATTTCTAATCAATTTAATACAGAGCTCTTCATTTTTAATTGTTTTCTACAATTCCCGCCCCCCTCAGTAAATGGCTGTAAGAAGCAGTATTTTGTCTTAATGATTAATAAATGTATAAATGTATCCTTTGGTTATACATTTGAGAATAGGAGTTTCTTCTAGAAACTTCCTAGATGGGATGCTTGTACACTGTTAACATGCATAGGAAACATTGCTTATGTTTCCCCACCGGTGAACAGAAAAAAGGGTAACCTCCTACCTGCAGTTTTGTTTGTTGTTTTCTTTCTTACACCTGTGAGGAGTCAGTGCAATGCTTAAAAGTTGCTGAAGGAAGACTTGACCGTGGGGGGTTCTAAAGAGCGTTGTGCGTGGCAGAAGATACTGCTGAAAGAAGGAGGGAGGTGTTTATCTTCTGTATCAGAGGCACCGGGCCAGGTTTGCCACACATTCATGTAACACAATCGAATTTGATACATAAAGCAAAGCCGGCCTTTTTCCTTTGAATTGTGTACCAGTCAGCTGTGGTCTGCACGCTCCCAGTGACACCTGGGATATCTTTTCCTCAAAGGAGGCTACGTGGCCACTGCAAAGAAAGTAAACTTTCTTTTTACAGTTAGGTACTGGTTTTTTAGAGGAAACAAATTGCCGAAGAAGTGAATTTTCTTTGGTAAAATCTGAACAGAACAGAACTTCGGCCTTCAGAGGTTACATCTGACATACAGTGAAGCAGTAACTGACACCCTGTGACAGCCACTGCAGTTAGCAGTTCTCTCTTAATTTCTGAAGTTGATAATTCTTCCCAGGGCACGCCAGGCCTCTCCGAGGAGACAGTTCGTTGTTAAGGAGTGAATGGGTTATTGCAGTATTATTGCAATATTTTCAGTGCCTGCATGACTTGGTCCATTCATTTTATAAAAACAGTTCTCTTTTTAGTTTTTTACTCAGTTTATTGACATGGTAGCTGCAGAAATTAGATAATGTTTTTTAAAATAAATTTGCCACATAATACGGGATGCAATAACCAACAAAAGCTGCTAAGTGCCAAACTGTTACTTTCCTATGTATAAATATAAATATAAATATAAAAATACAGTGCTGAAGAGCAGGAACTTATTTAATTTTATTAGGTCCCAAAATTAACCATGACTTGTTTGTAAATGACAGTTACTTCAGTATTGTGAAATTTTAACTCATTTCACGCAGGTTTGTTTTAACATTCCACTTATGCCTTGAAACATCTTTTTCTTGATACATTTTTAATACTTCTTTTTCCGTAAGGCACTTTTTACCAGACATAGGTTGGAATAGGCAGTTGAGGATAGAGCTTAAAATTTTAAATAAAATATCTTTGGGGGAAGTGCAATTTATTTTCATTATCCCACCAACAGAAGGAAAGTTATCTCGGGTTAGGGTCAGTAAATATTTAAAGGGTCTCTCGTAGGCTACAGTCTAATGTAGGCTTGTTTGTTTGTGCATCTGTCTGTTTAACACATCCAGATAATGGATTTTTCAAAGATGTACGTGTTTAATTTAAAATGAAGAGTTGTTTTTGTTTTTTGTTTTTTGCTTTTGGTATTTTTGTGAGTGTGTGATACTGCTTCTATCCTGTGAGAGGGGAAAGTGTGAGGGAGGGAGTGCGTGTGTGTTACATGACTTGGTAAGTCTGTTCATATATGTTTACTTTTAAAATTGTAGTTCCAGACTACATGTATTACTGTCTCCTGGTGCTTTGGATAAATCCTTGAGCCTGTGGCCCTTCAGTTAATACTACTGTGTTCAACTCAAATTCAGTATAAATATTCCTAGAGTTATAGCCTATAATACGTTTTATCTGGTGTTTGCATCCTTTCAGTGGGACTAAAAACAGCGCTTACCAACTAGTAGAGTTGATATTGCTATAAAGATTCGGCCTTGGAAATCTTTGAATTCATGGTTTCTTTCATTAGTTCTTTATTTCATTGCTGTGAGGAATTGACAGCTAACGGTAGGCTATTTTCAAACCGCAACAACCAAAAAAGATTTGGGCGATGGTGGACAGTGTTCTCTCTGTGCTTGAAGTGTCTTGTTATATTGCACGATCACCTTCATGATGCTTTGGGGGTGCCCTGTATATACTTCGTAGGTGGGAGGGGGGATTCCCTAGGCAAAACGCAGGAAGTACTTCCTCATATTGATCTGGTAAAGATAGGGCTGTCGCTGTGTCAGCTCAGTTACTCATGGTGGTAAATTAAGTTTTTAGGGAAATTCGTCAGCTGCATTGGTCCGTTGGGGTTCCATTTGGTGCGTTTCTCCTTCCATGTACCAGACCAAAAAGTTTCCCAAGGAGTGCTGAAAACGCTGCAGTATTACCTTCTTGCTGGCCTTCCTGATTTTGGAGAACACCTCCTCTGGGCAGGTAGAGAAATTTGATTATCTGGGGAAAGAATGAGGTGGCACTTTGCATGGATTTATTTATTCTTTAATGTTTGTTTTTGAGAGAGAGCTAGAGCAGGGTAGGGGCACAGAGAGAGGGGGACGGAGGACCAGAAGCAGATTCCGTAATGACAGCAGAGAGCCCGTGGCAGGCTTGAACTGACAAACCATGAGATGATGACCCGAGCCAAAGTCAGACGCCCAACCAACTGAGCCACCCAGGCGCCCCTGCATGGATTTAAAAGGTGCAGGGACCCCCTTAAAAAGCACCTGGTGGAAAGGAAGGGTAAGGCTGCTCTCATTCTGTGGCCACCCCTCATATCTAGGATCCTTGGGGGACCCGGGGAGAGAGGAGACTCGGATTAGTGCAGAAAAGCTGCCCTGGGTTTAATCAACAAATGCTTATGGAGCACCCCCTAAGAATGCTGTTTGGAATTCTGGGGGGCTGTCATGCTTCCCTCCCTCTAGATCGTAAACTCCTTGTGGGCAGTGACCTTGTCTTGGCCGTCTGCTGACCCCAGTGCTTGGCACACAGCAGGTGGTCAGTGAGTATGGTACACCTGTGATCAAAGTGATGTTTTTCCTGGGACTGGGAAGTCCTCTCCAAGTGACTTATTTTGTTGGATTTTAAACGAAAAGCTTTGTATACAAATGGGCTGGCCTCTAGTTCTAGAGTGAGAAACTAGTACAGATAAAAATCACAAAGTGCCTGACACACGGACGCACGGTTGTGTGGTTTCCATATGTCCTACAGGCTTTGGGAGACTGCTATACTCAGCACACCTAATTCCACTGATTACATTTAATGTTGGGATTTATTGCTTTTTACACATGCCTCCAGGTGTTTTCCAGAACATACTGCCGCGATCCTCACTTCTCCATGATGGGTGCAGTGGCCCCATTGGACAGAGAGCAGTCTCTGAGGCCCGGAAGATGCGGCTTCATTTCCTACCACACATGCGAGTAGAGACCCAAAGCAGAAGCCACGTCTTTGTATTATCATTTCACCATTCAGCCTCTGAGACTGTTGCTTAATTTTCTAGGCATGCAAGTATTTTTAGTCCTAAAATAATCATTTGTGGTATAACTTAAGCCCTCAAACATGTCCTTTAAAGTTATACAGACATAAGCTGAAAGATCTTTGGTTTTCTCTATCAGTTAGCTATAGGAGATTTGAGAATTGACTAAAGTCGTAAGAACGGAAGTACTAAGTGTGTTTGACAGAGAAACAGTTTGAGCAGAAACTTTGTTTATATTTCTTTTCTTACCACATGTAATCAGTAAGAGAGAAGATAGTGTATCTTCAAATGTGGAAGAAAGTATTTTGCTAGCTTTCTAAGAACCCCTGAGGTACTCTTTCTAGCCAGTTCAGAAATTATCGAAATGCAAGGTATAAAGATGAGGAGTGACCCCCTCCCCCCGTTGGAGAAGCACCTGAAATCAGGTCAAGGCCTGGCTGCCTGCTGGTGGCAAAGTGTCCGTACTATTGAACTATTATGTCTGCTATTATTTGTTGCCAAGCCAGCCGGCAAAACTTCTAAAACTCTTGTATTTTTCGGAAGTGATTCTATTTTTTAATTTTAAATATGTCTCACCTTTACAATGCATTTACATAACATCTGAGGAGCTCGGTTAAGATTCTGTGTTCTGTGGTCCACATGCATGCGGTTGAGGGAAGTTTGTTCGTGTTCAGTCCCCTCACCCAGGTTCTCACAGTGGTTGGGTCT